AAAGTGTGATATCATGAGTTGATTAAAGCTAGATCACCGTGGGAAACTTGGAAACACTGAACGACCATTTTATCCTAGTATGGGACTCCTTAGCAGTTCGTATCCACGATCCTACACGCGGAATTTGAACTTGGGACCTTAGGCTTCTTGCGTGAACACTCAACCTCTAGAACACTGAACCGGCATCCAACGATGTCAATATCTAACTTCAATCAGTTCATGATCTTGCACATTCCCTCATCCATTGTTTGAGGTGGATAACTGTCTCCATCCAACATGGATTGGATTCTACTAGTCACGGCTTCTCACTAGAACTCCAGGAAATCCATCTTGAAGCTAGTCACTATTAAGCACATAATTATTATCAGAATGGGGATTTGTGGATATTGTGATGTTTTACCAATTGAATTCACGAGTTCGTGCGCGAGCCCGAAGGTCCTGGGTTCGAGCTCCGTGTGTGGGATCGTGGATGCGTACTGCTGATGAGTCCTTTACTAGGACGGAATAGCCGTCCGGTGCACTCAGGTTTGCAATTGTAGTCTAACACTGATCGGTTCATGATCTGAATTAAAATAAATTAAAAGTCGATGCACTTGGGTCCGGGTATGTATGTATTTGTGGATTTACACTATTGAATAATCTCATCTTTGGATATATTAGCTGCACTCTGGTGAATAATTATTCTCAGGATTGTGTTAATGCGTGACAAAAGTCAGCTTCAATCTTTTATTTTGTTTATAATCGTGATGAATAATAATCGAAATAAATTTTTTTGGACTATCCGTATGGTAATTCATTCGTATTTGACACGGTAGCCAAGTGTATAAAACAATGGCATTTGAAGCGAACGTTACTGGGTTTAAATCCCGGAGTGAAAATGAACTCTGGAATGCAGGTACATCCAGTATATGAGTCCCAAAGAGGGTGAAACGCGCGTCGTAGATTTCACTGTCAGCTAACATCTACCTCTGCCTATAATATTTGCATGATATCCTACTAGTTTTAATAATCTTTACTACTTGGCACCAAAGTATATCAATCATGGTTATCTTGGGTAATTTAATTGATAATAACGTGATTTAATTCTTAGTAGGGTGAGAGGCTTTCCTAAGAGCGATAGTCAAGTTATGTAATAGTATATTGTGTCCATAATGTGTTAACAATAGAATACAAATTAATAGAGCTAATCTCACGTTTTCTTAAATATTCATTCAGAAATCATCCTAAAACATCTTCATCAATATCCTTATGTTATAGATATTTATATTTCAAGGTGGATGGAAATCAAGTTCTTCAATCCCTGATTCACAGTCCCATCCGTTAATTTATCTCTTGTGATTACTAATTTATACTTGATATCAAAGTTACTTAATCACTTTCTTCATGACACAAGAATGATGGTAAGGTGTTTATGATCAAATGACCAGTAATTTATGCATATATTTCGACTTTGTTGTGGAAATTTGTACAGGATACACGCATTTGATAAGCAAGAGGACTAATAGGTTTGGTGGAGATGGACTTTGGAGTTTGTCTACAGGCTCATATATTCCACTCTTTACTCTATATTCAAGCATTGATTAAGATCATTCGTCTAATGCAAAACATCCCTATATCCTTAGGATTTCTGTCAAAGTATAAATATCTACATAAATTTTAACCACATGATTGTTTAATTTAGTCAATCCCTTTCAGCTGTAGTGTAAGTCTACAAGTATTATATAATCCAATCATTTCAAAATGAGATTTTAGCATACAAGTAAAGTAAGACAAGTGTGCTACACACTGCAATAGAGCTCATCCATAAGACTTACGAGTATTCTTCCTTTCCAGACCCTTTATACGCAGTAAATAATGTTCAAGACTATTCCGTATAACGTGACATTTCCTCAACTTGGGGTTAGGATAAGTTCATATAAACAATTTCGGATCCAGGACAGAACTTATCATCAACTTAGAGCTCACTTCATGATCCTACAATAGACTTATGTGCACCTATTTTTAGCGTCTTAAGAACTGGATGGTATTTAACTTAACAAAATTCTACATAAGATACAACTCAGATGTTAATGTGTTTTTGATTCAGCGGAAGAATAGAATATGTATCTTGAATCTAATTGATTAGATGGTTGAGTAAAATGTTTAAGTTTAAAATATGAAAACCGTTAGATGTCCAAAGAATTTATGACTGCCCTTCTGTAAAAAAATATCTAAATCAATAACAGTATTGTTAAAATTACACAGAACTAATTTACGAGCAATTCTTAACTAATGAAATATGTTCTATGTTGAGATGGTGGAGAAGATTTGTAGCTCAGGTGAATGATTTTGGTTCTATGTTGCTGTACATTCTTTAATTAAGAACAGCCTACTTTAATTTGACCAAGAACCAAAGCCCCCAAATGCCTTGGTACGGCCGAGAGTGGGGAGTCCGCTCTCCCTCTCGAAATGCTCTCACATGGCCACGTACATACAGCTACTGCCATGGAAGTCCTACCTACTGCCTTCTCGCAGCATTACTGTTGTTTATGAAATTGGGAGGACGAAAAGCGAATGTCCGGTGCTCTAATAGGGTTGGTGGATATGGAGGGTCCATCAAGGGGAGTTGGGAAATCCTAATTCCAAACCGATCGTGCACATGGGCACCAGTATCTTAAAGGAGTAAATGACGTATGAACCAATTATTTTTCACCGGCTACCATGGGACTACATCTCCTGACGTTTCTCCACTGCTTTGTGGATTAGACCTTTAGGTTGAAGGCTTTGGGTGTGACTCCCTAAGAAGACCACCTGCTTCGGCACCCGGGCAGTATCCCAACCCTCACACAAATCGAATGATTTATGTGGTGCATATCTATTTGGTGCCTTCTTGTACCAATGTTTATGTATTTAAACAATAATAAATAAAAAGGCATTATATCAGTACTACTTAAATTACAAGTCGAATCTATAATATTGTAATTTATAACAGTTTGCTTTTGCAAAAAGATCCATCAATTCTGTATTGTATTTGTAATTAATGTCACATATCATTAAAATGCAATAAATATTCTATACACTATCCAGAAATTGTTGATTTTACAGAAAGCAAACTCAACGATGAATAAAATGTCACTCGAGAAAAAGGTATTATAAACAATTTCTAATATTGCCAGAAGGGGTTTTTTGGAGATTTTAGTACTTTTATAGTTGAATTCATTAGTCAATTAAAGCTGAGGAGTTCCATACTAGGAAAAAACGGCCATCCAATGCTTCCAGATTTTCTATGGTGGTCTAGCTTCAACTGATTCAATGAATTCACCTATAAAATTTCTGATATGTGAATTCTATAGCCTTCAGGAGACATATATGAATACTGTTTTTTTCCTTTATTTCAGTAAACTATTCATTTATACAATATTAAGAGTGGGATATTTATTATTCTTTTAATATTGGTAGTAGTATTATTACTATAATAATTGCTATTAGTTTAAGTATAAGTATTAATAGTACTGATCGAAATGTGAATGGAAGCAGTGGAGTTCAACCGGGTCTGTTGTAAGATAGTAACTCACCGATGACAATGGTGGATGTGTAGTTCGATTTCGTGGATTAGTTAAAGTTAGACATTAACACCGTTGGATGCCGGTCGCCTCAGTGGTCTAGTGGTTAAACGCTCGCGTGCGCGACTAATAGGTCCTAGGTTCAAATCTGACGAGGTGGGGTCATGGATCCGCACTACTGAGGAGTCCCACAATGGGACGAAATGGCCGTCCAGTGCTTCCAGGTTTTCCATGATGGTCTAACTTCAATTGACTCATGATCTCAATTATTGAAATTACTACAATCTCCAAAAAACCCCTTCGGAAGCATATACATAAATATGTCAATCGTTGTAATGTTGGGAGGAGTTTGAATAAAAAATATCACTTTCAATCATTTAAACTAATTACTCAAGTTCAAACACAAATATGATTGAAATATTGAATAGGGCAACAGTTATTCAATGTGTAACAAACAATAAGGTGGGATTACATAATTCTTAACAGAAATTCCTAATCATTAGGATAATAATCAGTAAACAAATTGGACCATTTTGACAAACGTTTGTTTACTAATATGGCTGTGTTACATATGTAAAAATAAAAAATACCACGTTTTTTAAAGAGGTTTTGTTTAAGTTATAGCCATCACAAACTGATCTCGTTCGGAGCGACATTGAAAACAACTAGTTTTTCAGTTGTAGAGGTAAGTTTTCCCTATAGAGTCCCTACAGTCAGTATAGCACCAACATAGTCATTATTTTCTAAATGTTTTATTTTTCTCCTATTGAATTTTATTTATCAAGCACAGATTTATGTATTCAGGTTTCAACCACACTTCTTTACAACTACTGTTAAGTGAGTAAATTAACACGCATATATATAAGCCTATGCTGAAGCCATATAAGCTTTGGAATATTCAAAATAAATTAACCAAAATAAACAGTTTTAGAAGTCAACTAAGACAACTGGACGATCACAACAAGAATAACCAACGTGAGATTTCGAACCCATTACACAATACACTTTGTATTGTTTGGCTTGTATCTTCCCATTGAGGTTTAAGACTGCAATTGATCAGTCTGTTATTGGCATATGTGCATACTGTGCGTATGCCTCGATATTGCCATAATTCACAAGCTTTTTGTAAGCAATGATGGATAGTGGCTAGCAGTGGAATCCAGTTTGACGCGCGCTTCGTCCTATTTAGGACTAGTCAGCTGGATGTACCTGCATCTCATGGTTAATGTTCACTCTGGGACTCGAACCCAGTAACATTCGCTTCAAACGCCATCGCGTTATCCACTCAGCTAATGAGTCCTGATAGCCACTTGCTTTTGCAATGGGGTGAATTTGAATTCACTTTGTATTGTTTAGCTTGTATTTTCCCATTGAGGTTTAAGAATGCAATTGATCAGTCTGTTATTGGCATATGTGCATACTGTGCCCATTACACAATATATGGAAAACAATAATGAATAACACAATCACAATTATTTATTCAGACTACATAAATTTATTACAGAAACAATGACAGTTTATCGAGGGAAGATTGATTGATTGATTGATAGGAAAATAATAATATTAATAACACTAAGCATAAACAACAACAAATACTGAATTGTTATTTAACTTTAATTTTATGTACAGTATTACACTATCTCTTTTTACAATGTTCTATACTGTAATTCTTTCTCGACTGAAAGTAAACAGACACACACACACACACAAATATACGTAGATGTAAATACACAATCAGGAATTATATCTCATTTATTCTCTTCACATTAAACTCTCTAATACTTAATCTCTCTATTGAATTCAATACATAATCTATATATATATATATATATAAAAACTAGTTAGAAATGCAAAGAATAAAGAAGAATTCTTCATTGTCTTTTCTGAGTTGTTCTTTTTTTTCAAAAAAAAATATTTCTCTTCTTCATTTTGAACACTTCAAATTCATTGAAGTCATTTGTTTCTCTAATGAATTAATAATATCATCACGTAAATGAATACCATCCAATGTGTGAATATCATGACTAGAAGATGATTCTGAATGCATTTCTTTTTTACGTTGTTCCGATAAAAGTACCGTTAAACAATTACATACACTTGGTATTAATTGTGGTCCGAAATAATCGATCAATGTTTTAGTCAATCGTAAATAATGCTGTATATTAAGTTTTACACTATTACTATTATTACTATTATTATTATCAGTAGTAGTAGTCGTCAATGAACAATCCACCCAATCTTCACTATCTTTTTCCGGTTTAATAGCACCTAAATAAACAAGAAGACAATTGATTGCACAACTAATACGATGATTATCTCTATTCTTTTTATAAACATCTGTAAATACTGAAGCTAATAAACCGATAGCCAATTGCATAATTGCACCAGAAACAGAATTTGTTTGACATATAACACTACGTGATAATGCTAAACTTAAACGAACTATATTCTCTGGTGAAGCTGTTTGTGAGCATAACATTATAACAGGATGTATCGGTGGTTGTTTAAAGTATTCAGTAGATCCAAGAAAGTCTAGAAAAATTGAGAAAATGAAAACAATGAATATATATATGATATAATAGAAAAAGTCAATGGAATAGTAGCAATGATAGAGAATTAAAAGTTAACACAAACTTATTTTTGGAAGTATAATGGCATAGAAGTAGGCTGCAAAGAAGCTAGGGGTGAGTGAACCAATTCATTAAGTCATTGGCAATCGAACCAAACCATCTAGGTAGGTGCAGACTATTTGATTGAGGTCCGCATGATTATCGTACATTGCGTGATATAGCTCAGAATAGTTCGCAATGGCATAGATGAATTCAGTTTTTCTTTTAATTAGATCTTGAATTTTAAAATAATCTTTATGTAATTTAATCTTTGAATTTATTGTTCTTGAATCAGATTGTCTATGCTTAATGTGTTTTTTACTAACACTACTACTGTTACTACTTCTATTACTCTGGCAAAATCTCATGATGATTTAGTCTGGGCGTATTGATTTGGTCTGGTCAATTGAACCGATATATAAATATAACAAGTTGTACATTGCTTATAACTAATTGACTAATCTGGAATGAACAAACGTAAATCTGTGTACTTTTAGAACACTTTTACTTTAAACATAATAATACAATAAACATGAACGAACCTAGCCAGTTTTTATTTATCTGTATCTAGGTTGTCTTAAATTGTATACGGATATCTAAGATGAATTTCTTTATCCAAAAGCCTATTTACATGAATTCAATGCTTTAATATTAAATCACCAGATAGACCGATTTGTGTTTTTGAAAAAAATAAACATTATTAAACGAGTAAAAATAACATATTTGTAATATCCCAATGAGTAGAAAATTAGATTTTCTGACGTTTCGTGACTTAGTGTAAGTCACTTCTTCAGAGAATATTCTTGCATTATTCCGTTGTACTATTTAAACTTAGATTAATTTTAATTTGGTTATTTATTCTCTGAAGAAGTGACTTACACTAAGTCACGAAACGTCAGAAAATCTAATTTTCTACTCATTGGGATATTACAAATATATTATTTTTATTTATAACAATCAACCCAATGCTCAATTTATTCGAAATTATTAATAAACGAGATTTAAATTTACAACTATATGGGTATTAACAGAAGTCTTGTTTTATATTACTGTACTAACCATGTAAAATCTGATAAGAAAATAAGACATAAGATCAGAGTAAGTAGTACACCAGAAAATGAACACAAAATATTAAAATGCGTAACGGAAGCATTGTATAAATGGATAGCGAATATCATACTTGATCCCCATTATATTGTGATGTGTGCATCTCATGTGGATAGATAATAAGTAGTATATAACAGGAATTAGAAGTAGAATGCTTACCAGCATAGGATTGAATTGAAGAGAACGGGAAGGAAAACAGAGAGCGATCAGAATAACAACAGAATTAAAAGAATGATGGAGTATGCACGGGATAACTCAAGGAAGATATGCAAACGATTTACTTAATGTATGATTTTCATATTTTACAAAGACTGTAATTTTGCATGAAACAATAAGTTGGTCTACTGTACCTGAGTTTTGGTTCACTACAATATCAGTACTGTAGGTGATATACCCGAAAAACTTACTAAAAACGGAATACATGATACATAGAGTGTGTCTTCACCAGGTAACGGCTAGGAAGATCATTGAAAGAAGATTTGAGTAGATTTATCTCAGTTTACTAATACATAAAGTAAAGCATCTTAAATTGATAGACAACTGTAATGAATACTAAATTGCTTTTCTCTGTCTGAAGACAATGGTCTTTGAAAAGAAATCACAGTGAATGTATTATTGAGGAGATGAGCTTAGCATTAATACCGCTCACTGTTTCAAACGTCGATTTCAAATATTTAACACACTACAAACAAGGAGTCATGATTTGTTTTAGCCATCCCTGTTGAAACATTTCCTGCTATAACTCCTGAATTATCAACATTTTTTCGTTACGACTTTGAATCATCTAAGAAACCAAATGAAAATGCAGGAGCGCTGGATGAGTTTTGTACTCATCTAAATACTAATTAATGAAATAGTAACCAAATAACTAACTCACCGATCAAACGATTTCTACTCATTTCTTGTTTTGGATTACAAAGTGCATCGTTTAAAAGTTGTCTAAGTTTATCCTCATCTAATTTCTTTTCATCAACAACTTGACCAACAGTCTTATTCGATAGAATTGGTGGAGAAAATAGATTTCTTTTTGCGTTTGCATTATCACCAAAATTGAATAAATTGCCTAAACCTGAAGAAGGCCATAGTTTTGAACGAATCACACCGGCATCTGTTGTATCAGTGTTTTGAGGTGAAATTCCAGAAAATAAACCAAGTGATTGTTTACCAAAAGGTCCAGGTTTATTTATTTGGATATTTTCATTTTGTGGGGTTAAACAACCACCACCAATAGTTCCAATTTTTGAAAATGCCTCACGAAAACTGAAATTAACGCCTGAACCTATTAAGAACAAAAGGAAATTAAAGTTGGATTTACAACAATATGCATGTGTATACAGTCAGCATATAGTTGAGCGGTGGCTCAGGTGCTAGTGTTTGACTTTCAGTCAGCAAACCAGTGGCTTAAATCCTGATCCACCAACGCCAGTTTGGTGGCCCGGGTAGTGTATCGGCACCCTTCACGATTAGAATAGCTCAAAGTCAAGTACATAAATTTATACCACGTAAGGGTTAGTAAAAGAAGAAAACCTTGGTCGGAACCAAGCATAGGCAATATAATATCAGATAAGTGTATTGGTACACTTCATAAAATTAGCAAACACAGAAACGACTAGCAAGATAAGGAGAAGAGAGAAAGCAGTATCAACTGTGGAAGGAAAATTGATACAAAAAATTAATCCAGAATATAAGACAGAATAAATGTCAGTTAATCAGTTATAGTCAACGTGGAACCATCTGACTCATGTTAAAAACAAAAAATATAAATTTCGAAAGAGTTGCAACTATGAACTAATGAATCATTATATTTTTTATTTTGACGTTGGATAATGCACATAATGATGAACAACTATCACAATCTAATGCTTTATTTAGTACTTGAATATTGTTCGGATCTTTCAAACTTAATCATACGCCTTAAACGTTTGAAAAGTTCCACATCACAAATTAGCTTTAGTTAGAAAACCGGTGGGAGTTAGGAAGCACTTGATAGCTTTTAGATCCTAATATGGGACTCCTCATTAGTAAACGTCCACGACACCATTAAAGATCAAATGCAGGACCTTCAGGCTTGGTGGAGTGTACTTAAACTTTAGACCAATAAGTTGATATGGTGACGTGAATTTATAATTCAACTCAATACGTGAATTAAAACTGCATTACGGTAGTTATAATTGTTTTTTATGCAATGGAACCAAGTTCCCAATGTTTACTATTACATAAAGCTTAATTAACAGACATGTCACTCACAAGTTTGAACATAAACCAAGTGTGGTAATTCGAGACGATAGGTGATATAAGTAGTATGTATCATCAGTCGAAAGTGAAATGCCTGGTGGCAGAAGGTTAAGAAGATCGGAGAAAAGAGAACGAGAACATTGAATGATTGGTGTGGAAACGAAGAAACAATCAAGTCTGAGATGATTGACTGATATTTTGCAAATGAAGTATTTATTGTATGGCTCTCAGATTTTATCAAGAGATTCTGTAATTTTGTGTTCAAATACATTCGATTGTCTTTACTTGAGTTCTCGTTCACTAAAATATGACTTAAGATTTGTTAAAGTGATGCAAATGAATTTATTCCCTATTTTCCAACAAAATTCAATTTCGACATTATTTTGTACTTTTTATTATATTAATAGTTTTCTAATAATTTGATCATATTCCCTATGATTAGTATGTCTTAATATCATTTATATTACCAATATATCGATCTTTTTTATTTTATTTGAACACATATATATTGGTACAGAAGTGCGCCAAATATAAATGCGCCACACAAAACAATGAGAATTTAAGAAAAAAAATGAGGAACGTAAAAAAATTTTAAAAAAAAAACAATAATGAAGAGATTGGTGTAAGGGAGTGTAGTAATAATCATAGTCATAATGGGGGAACGGAAAGGTACAATCAGAAGAAATCTTTCAGTTAAGGAAGATACAACCATTTTTTTTATGAAGAAAGTAAAAGAAGGTTACAGCAGGATCGCCATTGGCTTCTATTCTGAGCCATATCTGATAACGTCTCTAGCCACTGTGTACCACCATCTTTAGGACCCCAACCAGAGAGTCGTGAAGGACCGACACAAGCCAGTCCTTTGCAGCTTTCTTTCATACCACGACACCATGTCATATACTGACCACCTCTCCGCTTTCTCCAACCAGTCCCAGAGTCGGCAAATAATGCACGACGTGGAATTCTCTTGGACGACATTCGTAGAACATGTCCAAGCCACCGAAGTCGATGTTTCAAGATGGTGACACCAATTGAATTATCATCTCTGTGCCCGAACACACGATGCCGAACCTCTGCATTACTAACATGGTGTCGCCACTGGATGTCAGTAATCTTTCGGAGACAACGATGATCGAACACAGAAAGTCGCCTAACGTCCTCAACTCGGAGAGACCAGGTTTCACAAGCATAGAGCAAAACTGCTCTCACCGACGCGTTGTAAATCCGACCTTTTACGGCCAGACTAACATCACGAAGGCGCCAAAGATGGCCCAGATTGGCATAAGCCGCTCTGGCTTTCACTATACGTGCATTGATCTCATCACTCACACCCCCACCAGCACTTATGCAGCTACCTAGATACACGAACCTCTCGACTAGTTCTATCTGCTCACCATCCAGGGTGAGTACAGGATTAGAATCCTGCCAGTCTTGTAGAAGTACTTTGCACTTCGAAGGTGCAAAGCACATACCATACCTACGGACACTGATTGCCAACTGATTAAGTGCGGATTGCATGCCTTGGGCATTATCGCACAGTAAGACAATATCGTCCGCATACTCAAGGTCGAGAAGTCTTTCTCCAGGCAACAGATCCACACCACCATTACTTACATCCATCAGAGCTGTTTCCAGAATGTCATCGATGGCAAAGTTGAAGAGGAATGGTGAGATTGGGCAACCCTGTCTAACCCCACTGCTCGAATGGAACAATGGAGAGAGGTGGTTGTATGCCCTCACTCTGCCTGAGGTGTTTGTATATAGGGCTTTTAGGATGTTAATAAACTTCTCAGGCACACCCTTCTTCAATAGACAATCCCAGAGAACAGTTCTGTCCAACGAATCGAAGGCAGCCCTGATGTCAAGAAACACTACGATTGTTGGCCTTTGATAAGTATGGCGGTGTTCTAACATTTGGCGGAGGGTGAAGATATGATCAATACATCCTCGACCAGAACGAAACCCAGCCTGCTCCTCGCGAGTCAATCTTTCTCGGGTTTTGAACAACCTACGAAGTATGACGGAAGCCAATAGCTTGGACGCAATCGGAAGTAGACTTATCCCCCGATAGTTGTTACAGGAACGACGTGAACCCTTTTTAAAGATAGGGACAACTATCGACTCATTCCATGACGTTGGCACACTCTCTAGTTCCCAAACCTTTGTAAACAACGTCGTCAATTCCTTAGTCAGAAAGTCACCACCATCTTTAAAAAGAGCCGGAGGTAAGTCATCTGGGCCAGGTGATTTGTAACGCTTCAAGAGTTGGAGTTCCTTGCGGAATTCCGCCTCATTTGGCGGATCAGTCGTCACCTGCCATGGAGGGCAGGACAGTCTGACCGATGTTGCCGGAGCAGCAGGCCAGTTGAACTGCCCTTCGAAAAATTCTGCCCATCGTCCAAGACGTCGATGGATGTTAGTGATTGGCATCCCATCATCCTCGCAGATTGTTTCACTCACACCAGACTTCTTGCTGCCAGTGGCTCGGATGAGTTGGAAGAGCTTCCGGTAATTACCAGATGCAGCTGCTGCTTCCAGCTCATTCGCACGCTCCAACCACCAGGCTTTTTGGTCCTTACGCAAGCTTTGCCCAATTTCCTTACGTAACATCCTTCGTTTGTGGTCAAACTTACGGTCACCCGGAGTAGACCGACGAGCTTCAATGAGTTGTAAGGAGCCTGAAGAAACCCAATGCTTATGAGCGGGACATTTCGCGAACCCACAACTGACTGTTCCCGCCATTTTCATGGCGTCATGCAATTGCAACCAATGCTCATCCATACTTTTCGGTGGAATGGTAGCTAGCCTAGAGGCTAGCTCGGTTTGATACTTACTTGCAACAGAAGTTGCAACCAACTTGCTAACATCAATCCGTTGGTGGCGGTCACTTCGTTGGCCACTGAAAAGTAAGGCAAGATTGGCGCAGACCAAGGCATGGTCAGAGTCCAGATAGGTACTCCAAAAGGAGCGGCAGTCTTGTACACAACCACGCCAGCGGTAGCTGATCGCGATGTGATCAATCTGAGTCCAGGCTTGAGATGCAGAGGGAGGACGCCAGGTGGCACATCGGCGATGACTGTGCCGAAAGTTAGTGCTAGCCAGAAACAGGTTGTGAACTGTGCACAGTTGCAGTAGACGGTCCCCGTTATCTGTCCTGCGACCAACAAGTCCTCATCGGCCACCTTAACGACTCTCTTCTGTGCCTAGACGCTCGACCTAAGCACTCAAGTCTCCGGCTAGTACTACAATATCTGTCGAACGCACTTTCTGGAGAACAGATAACTGGTAGTAAAACTCATCCTTGATTGCATTCAGACTGCAATCTGTCGGAGCATAGGCGAAGATGACGAAAAGACATCGGTTCTCATGCCAATTTCCTCTCACTTTGATGGAACTCTCTAATCTAACAGCACATAACCGACTGTTAATGGGGATCCAATAGATTAGTGCTGCCTCAGCTCTAGTGCTTAGTGCGACACCAACGCCAGAAAAACCAGACGAAGATGCCACAGGGTCCCCGGATAAACGCACGTAAAACAAGCTTTTCGAAGCGACAGATGTAGAGCGAATTTGTAGTACTTCACCAGAGTCTTGAATACGAGTCTCGGATAGACAACAAACATCAATATTAAGACTTTCCAAAGACATAGCCAGACCTATCTGTTGTCCGACCTGCATAAATGTGCGAACGTTGAAGGCAGCCTGTTTGAATGGTGCACGTGGTTCCAGAAAAACTGCTTCAGTCCTCGTATTCGGTGGTAACATACAATTTTCAGCCGGACAGTGACTCGAGAACGTTCAGATAGAGTCGAATTTCCACCATAGACGAGCTGCTGTATAAGTCGAAAAAAATAAGTATAGACAGAGTAGAAATAAAAGAGGGTGAATAATGATGTAGTAAATAACAATAACAATAATAATAATAATAATAATAATAATAATAATAATAATAATAATAATAATAATAATAATAATTGAATCATTTGAATGCTCGTCGAAACAAGAGAATTAGTCTCCATGATCATAGACAGTTCAGTTCATTACTTGTGTGTGGGCTGTGATACTGCCCGGGTGCCCAAACCGAAGCAGATGGTTTTCTTAAGGGGCCACACCCCAAGCCTTTGACCTAAAGGTCTGATCCACAAGGCAGTGGAGCATCGTGAGGAGATGCAGTCCCATGGTAGCCGGTGACCAAAAATTGGTTCATACGTCATTTGTTCCTTCAGGATACTGAAGCCCATGTGCACTATTGGTTTGGGATCCAGTTAAAGCGCCGGACATTCGCTTCACTTTTCGTCCTCTCATTTTCGTAAACAACAGTAGTGCCACGAGAAGGCAGTGAGTAGGACTTCTCTGGCAGAGGCTGTATACGCGTGGCCATGTGAGAGCATTTTGAGAGGGAGGGAGGGCCCACCCCGCTCTCGGCCATACCAGGGCATCATCTTATTGATGTATTAATTTCAGCTAATGGACAGTACTTTTGCTAAGTTTTAGTTTCCTTATGACTGACTGGCGTCATACTAGTCATAGTATGTGTAAGACCGATGAAACTCACCATTAGACGGTTAAAATTTGTATTGTCCTTTTTTCAAACATAAACAGTGAAAAAAAGAGAACAACATCTATACTAGGATAAATCGGACTGTTATTTGTGATATGAATAATACAACTGAACATTTCCTTTGAAAAAGGCATGTGAACTTACTCTCCTTTTGGTCTGAAGTTATATCAGTATGATTTTCTCGTTCATCATCATCATCTCCATATCGACTTCTTCTAGAATCATCATCTTCTGCATTTTCATTATCATCCTCTTCCTCCTCTCCTTCGTTGGTTTCATCATCTTCGTTTTCTTGATCTGAACCTTGATCTTCGTCAAATGCCCATAAATAGGATTCCTCTGTAACTGATTTATTTGATGAATCTTCTTTGTCGTTTGGATTGGGTAATGTGTGCAAAAGTCCGACTGAATCAAGCGTTTGAATTATTGATCGAACACCAGAGCGACCGAATTCATTAGCATTCAAGTCTAGTAATTCTAAATGGGATTTATTGCCCAAGGATAGAATTAAATTAATCCCAGCAGACAGTTTGATTTCGTTTCCAGTTAGATTCAAAACTCTTAAATTGGGAGTGATGTCAGGATCTTCAAAAGCGGAAGCAAGTGCCTTTACACCAGTTGATCGGAGTATACAATCGCTCAAATAAAGTTCCTATAAAAACAAGAGTCAGAAAAGCACCATAGTAACGTAGTTTTAGTTACGAAGAAATGGGACCGACTTATGAACACTAGTTATACTTAGGTTGGCTAAAGATGCTTTACCAGATTGACAGTCAGTTAATTTAGCCGACAGACTATTTCCAGAACAGTATTCAATACAGAATTAGAAAAAGGAAAGGGATAAGAACCGAATACAAGCCAACAATACACGACTCTTCCAATATACAGCGACTATAGAACTAAAATCTAAAGCTATAAGGAACAAGTTAATCACCAAGGAAGTCTACCTCTGAATCTGACTTTTTTTAGCTGATTATATCTGAAACAAGTATAATCGTATCAAGTTGCGAAAAACTTTTTTAATTAAAGGATGACACCAAAGACCCAGTAACTGTGTGATGAGTAACTTATGCGGATATTGTACAGTAAATAGGCACTTTAGTGCATTGATTGCAGTACTACTCCTACCTGATCGGAGTGCTGTCAATATTTATCAAAATAAATGGTTGTTTTACCGTACGCCTGCTTCGTTTTGGGCGCCCATACAAATCGAATGACGAAGCGTGGCGCACACATATTTGACGCCTCCTTGTACGAGTGTTTGTGTGTTTAAATAAATAACGAATTTACCGTAGACACATTTCAAACTTATTTGAAGTTCATTTCATGTGGAATTATGCGTCAATTTGATCTTTTACGGAAAGTTAAAGATGTGAATCAGAACGCCAATTAATTGTAAACACTAATTTCTGGTACCATGAATAGAGCGTACCAAAGTACAACAAATAAACAATCATAGATTATCTGATCGCTATTTGTCTCACTATCTACCAATATAACCAAACTCTGCCATTAGCTATGGCTTTTTGCCAGAATTTTAAGACCTTTGTCTTGACTAGCACAAATGCAGCAATCTCCATGACCCTAGATCACATTTATATTAATTGCGTAGAATCATACCAAATTAAATTAAGACATTTACATAAAGCAGTTTTATATTTATGAAAATGAAAACAATAAGATCATGTTTTGTAAATAAATTTACCTCTAGATTGACTACTGAAGGTAGGGCACGTGCAATTGCTTCGGCACCACGTGGAGTAAGTGAATTGTCCGACAAATTTAACACTCGTAAATTTGGATTAGATTTGATTATTTTCACTAATGACAAAATACCGTCTACCCCATGAATTCCAATTCCATTTTGATACAGAGAAAGCTATAAAAGAAGGTAACTTCAACTTTCTATGAAATACCTCTTCTAAGGACCCCATATCACAGAAAACCTTGGAAAGCATTTGAGCTCCGACATTTTCTAAACGATTTCTTCCTCCAGAAAATATTTTTAGTAGTAGTCCTTGATTCTTTGACAAACATCGTCCTTTTTCTAAGGCCTCTGCAAGATATCGACATCCTTCATGCCCAAGACCCTGGTTGTTCATTCGCAGTACCTATAAAACCATCAATAGTTAAAAACTTTTTTAAAACAACACTAACCTCAAGCGTGTGACAAGTATTGCTCGCCAGTAAATCAGTTATACCAACAATCCCATTTGGACCGAAAGCGTTGTCACTGAGATCCAATTCAATTATTTGAGACTTAGAAGCCATAAGACCATTACTCAAATACTTTAGTGCTGGTGCTATTTCAGATTTAAGGCGACCTAAATGTGGCACAATACAAGTAGACTTTTAAAGTTTCATGAAGAAATAAATTGCAATATGTCGAAAGAAAGGAAGAATTTAAAAACGCGATGAAACACAACAACAAAAAAGGGGGACTGAAACTGAGCAGGTTTACAGAAATAAGTTCTTGGCCTGTTATCATAACTGTCCTTCGACTGCTGACAACCGTATCATAAACTGATTGTTTCTGTCTTTTAAACCTAGTTGTTAGCAGTTAGTGCTTGGTATAGTAGTTGCCGGGATTTCCTGCGAATAGCGTATCAAAACTTCCGAACCCGGTATTTTGACATAACACCCCTGACAGAACATTTGTCTACAGCATGGATGAACTGGTATTAAGAGAACACCAAAAATACATCGTGTTGCTGTGAAACCTGAACAATCTTTTGTACACAATGATGATCAAATGCGTAGAGCCTTAGCTCAGAAAGGCTGTATCACTGTTACACGGTTCTACGATAGATGAACATGAAACACGACACTGAAATCAACTAATGGAGAACGAATTTGCAGTACTTTACTGGGCCTTCGACTTCAGAGACACAGTATATATCAGCAGCTAGATTATGGTTTTAACAAAACCTACTTATTGTCCGAACTGCATGAAGGTGCAAACCTTTAAATAAATTCTGACTGTAAAAATTCTTTTAGAATAGACAGGTCAGAAATTAGATTGGGATATGGGTTTTCATAAGCAATTATCTAAATGGCCTAAAACTGTCTAGACAGAGAACTTCCAATACAGATAAGTTGTTCAATGACATAAAGATTATAATAAAGTTGTAAAATGCTCTAAACCATATGAAAATAAAGCGATATAAAATGAGCTTATTTCAAACCATAAAATGGAGATTTTCGAACAAGTGTTTATAACGTAAGTAGTTGGTAATCTATATTTCCGATTGTTTTAATTTGTGTAAGGATTGTATACCACTAGGGTGCCCCAAAACATAATGTGGCGTTCTTTAGGTAATCATTCATCAAGACCGATTTTCAAGCGAGTGAAGCAACATAGAATGTGTCCACATAACGCTAGACGGTTAGTGATACTATTCAGATGCTGAAATCGATATGGGTGATGGAGAGTTTGGAGCTGCAACTTACTGGTTCAATGCCAAGTACTTAAATCATTAAGTGACCCTTAAACAATAAAGAAAAGTAGTTCACTGGTTAAAGTACTTCAGTGGACAAAATATAAGTTAAATCTAAATACATTAACTTGAATTGATAAATAGGTTACTTTTTTCAAGCAATATCGTAGTAACAAAAGACCAATGCACGGTAGTACGGCATATAGGTCTAAAAGGAAGAGTTAATGTCGTTGCTCAACTTCGAAACAGTTTTAAGGGTGTCGATAAACTTTTTTTTCGATTTCATTTACCCCAGCATACAGTGCTTTCGATGTCCTTAAACGAGCTTTAAAGAATTTTCAGATGTATAAAAAGAATAAATCAAACATCTTGTATTACAATTGACTTTCTAATGGTTATTAATGAATATGTCCTATAACACAAAGCTTTACTATTTATTGAAAAGTCGAAACTTTAGTTTAACAACAACGCCAAGATACAATAGAAGTAAAAAGAATTGCAGAACAATACGGCCTCCAAATGCCCTGGTACGGCCGAGAGCGGGGTGGGCCCTCTCTCCCTCTCAAAATGCTCTCACATGGCCACGCGTATACAGCATCTGCCAGAGAAGTCCTACTCACTGCCTTCTCGTGGCACTACTGTTGTTTACGAAAATGAGAGGACGAAAAGTGAAGCGAATGTCCGGCGCTTTAACTGGATCCCAAACCAATAGTGCACATGGGCTTCAGTATCCTGAAGGAACAAATGACGTATGAACCAATTTTTGGTCACCGGCTACCATGGGACTGCATCTCCTCACGATGCTCCACTGCCTTGTGGATCAGACCTTTAGGTCAAAGGCTTGGGGTGTGGCCCCTTAAGAAAACCATCTGCTCCGGTCTGGGCACCTGGGCAGTATCACAGCCCACACACACACAAATATGGTGTGGCGCATATATATTTGGTGCCCTCTTGTACCAATATTTATGTTCAAATAAATAATAAATAATAATAACTGCCCAACCAATCTTTCTTATTGAATTAAAAATCACTTCAAAAACAGTAAATCAATCAATTAGTTATAACGTAGGATCAGGTACATATACACATCGATCCACGTTCCCACACCTCATTAGCACAACAAGATGACCACCAAATTCATAGTAGTTACTTTAAAGGTACTAATATATAAAGAAAGATTGCATATAAGGACATCATACAGGAAGAAAACTGAATTTTTATTTATTCCAAAGCAATACTGACTACAGGAGTTGGGATAAATTCTATTTTGAAGAGTTACCTCGTAAAATCCTAATTCGTGTTGAAGGGAACCTATATTATATAAGAGGACCTCAATATGTGCTTGACGAGATTGGAGATCTACCGACTAAATCAACAACAGCTGTGCACGCCATAATAAATAACTAACCACGTTAAAAAATCGAACCATTCGAAAATATTTATTCACCTATAGGCAATGATGAGCAGTTAAAGTGCTTTGTGCTGAATACTATTAGGCAAAATGAGAAGGAATGTTCCATTACCTTACTAACCTGGAATTTGTATCCAAAATATCACACATAAAGTAATCAAACCATGGTACAGATTAACTCACAAATACACTACAATATGTGGGGATCATCCTACACACAGTTATTTTCACAAGATGGTCGTCTTCCACACGAAGGACGTATACCGCGCAGCAACCCCCTTTGTTTTACTAACGGCTGTGGAACAAGAGTTTGAATAAGTAAACTAAAGGTTATTTCCATCTCGACGTGCTATTGTGATATGGCAACTCGGGTCAACGTAGATGTGTACCGGGCTCCTTGTTGATGTCTGTCTAATTTTCGCAACAAATAACAAAAGCGCTATGCTTAAACTTGTTTTTATTCATTGATAAGTTGGTTCAATTTGTTATAATAATTATTAGGAGAAACCTTAAATAATAAAAGTCGTTTATTCTTTTAAAAAGAGACTCAGAGTGGTTACATGTTGGAGATTAAATTTTCTATTGATTACGTACAAAAAACATGTTACTTATATCATAAACAAAATATACAACGTTACATTTATTTAAAATTGTCAAAATGAATGGTAATAGTGATATTTACATGGAGAACTGTAACGAAAGTTACTTTTAAAATTTGTTAAGATATACGGATGTCATAATTACTACATATTTAAATATATTCACTATATTTCCACTGGAATTAGTTGTTGGTCACAAGAAATAGTCTACAATTATTATTTATTTATTAATTATTTACCTAAACACATAAATATTGGTACAAGGGGGCACCAAATATATATGCGCCACACATAGTCAACAATACTAATTAATGATACTTATAGTCGTTGAACACAAGAATGTGGTTTTAACCTCGGTTGATAGATAGTGACTTGAGAATTTGGTACAATTTCCCATCTATATCAAATTTCCTGTTTTTTGACTTGGAGGTAATAAACGGTGAATGGAGAGCTGTTGCTTTTGATGTAATCATTTTTCAAGAATTTTCCGCCCATCGTTCTAAACGTCTGGACTGGGAGCAGACGAGAGTATCATCTTTTTCCGAAATAATCTCACTTACACTTGACTTATTAATTCCAGTTTCTTTATTAGTCTGTAAAGCTGTCTTGTGTTCCCTATAGTCGCCGCCTTTTCCATCTCTTTGCTTTCGTTACCCACCACTGCTCACGGCGTTCTTAGACTTTTTCTTAACCTAGATCTGATTTGTTTTCGCTCTTCATCATGTTCAGAACCTGATGGGACGAGTTTGCGAGAATCCATCAGTGTGACAGACCTTGAAGAAATCCACTGGTTCCTTGCAACTCTGTGGTTTAAGTCACTAATAGATGTCACTGCTGTTTCCACAGCTGATTGTATGTCCTTCCAAGCAACATCTGGGTCAGCCTCGTCTTCAACCTGGACCGATGCACATATGTGCCTGGTCCTACGTTGTAGCTGACTGACTGACTGAATTAAAATTTAAGAGAATCTTGCCAAAAAAGTGACTGGTAAAACAGGGATTACTTGAGTATTAGTGATACGTTCGTGGACTAAGCAGTACCTTTGCAACTTCAACTCTAATATGGTGAACAAGATTGTCCAATCTTCTTTTTCCTATTCACTAACTAGAGTGAGAGGTCCAGTTTGTATGGAGTTTTTGTTGACCAAGACCATAGTTTGATTTTTTGCGTAGAAAACTGGCATCAGTCAGTCAATAATATGCAGCATAGTACCTCACATGTTCTCGGCTTTAAGTTACCATAGCACACTGACTCACCAATCTTCACAACATTGTTAAAGAACACTAACCAGGAAAAAATCATTTAAACCATTTAAACTTCAAGTCGGCAGGTAAAGAATCTTCATGTGAAAGAGTTATGAAACCTCATAGTGAAAGTCGGCATCTCTCAGAAGTCACAAGACTTGGATCCCTTCTAACAACCAGAGTAATTAATATAAGTAAATAGAATGTCTGAACAGTGTGGGAGGCTGGGAGGATCAGTCAAGTAGCTGGGAAAATGAGGAAACATAACCTGGTGGTGAACGAAATAAATGAGACCCACTAAATCCAAGCTGCACTGAAAAGATTAGATTCGGGAGAGATGATGTTGCACTCTAATCATGAGGAAGAAAACGTCTCCTATGCAGTCAGTCAGTCAGTCAGCTACAACGTAGGACCAGGCACATATGTGCATCGGTCCAGGTTGCCATACCTCATTAGCACAGCAAGATGAACACCGGATTCATAGGAGTGGTTAGGTCAAAGGTTGCAATAAGGATATAATATAGGAAGAAAGAATTAGTTCGTAGAAAGAAAGATATGAAGTGATTTTAATCTCTTAGTTTAAGGGAAGACAGGGAGTGTATACACCGACGCCATTGTGATCGATTCTGAGCCATGTCACCAAGAGTCTCCAACCATTGGTTACGAAAGTCACGCGGACCCCAACCAAGTAGTCTGCATCTACCAACATGGCTCAGACTAGAAGTTAGTGACTTCAGGCACTGATGCCACGTTTTGGTTTGGCCGCCTCTAACTTTCTTCCAACCATCCCCTACACCGGTTAGCATTGCACGTCGTGGTAATCGGTGTTCAGGCATACGTAATACGTGGCCCAACCATCTCAGTCGATGAAGATTCATAACCTCATCAACTGATTTACCATCATTCCCTCCTATGCACAAGGAGTTGAACTGATACTATTCAAAGAAGCACAAAGATCACTTACGGGATGCGAATCTCATGAATCCAGAATCGTCAGAGCATCCTTTAAGACAAAGAAGGAGGGAATCAC